CGGAAAAGAATTTCAAACTTGTTATTAATGCAATTTACTTACGATTTTCAAATTGTCGAAGAATATATAGAACACACTTTAATATTTATTTCAGTTAGTATCAAGACGATCTTTATATGTTGTTTGGATTTTAATTTTTTACGTAGTATTCATATTAAAATGGTATATATATTTCCAACCAAAGAATGTTCGCTCACATCACAAAATAGAGAGAAAACATCGCCGATATATATATATATACAAAAAAATTCAAATAAACGCAGTATGTCTTGTCGCCTATTAGCAGGTTCTATCCTATTATACAAATTTCCACAATTTTATCCCAAACACACTAATTAATTTCATTTAGTTCCACTTGCAGCAATCGCTGTCTTTGTTTATATCTGCAGCGAAATACAGAATAACTTTAGAAGCAGAACTTAACAAATCTTTTGTAAATGAAGAATTTCAATTGTCCTACCCACAAAAAATTTATAGCAGCAGATATCCGTATGTCGCGTCAAATCACTGTCCTTTTGATTTAAGTTCGTTTTACCGATGCCACTTGGATCCATCTACCTATACCCAAAATGAAGTTGCCACATTATTTCTACATTAGGGAATCGATTTATTCATCGAAATGAACGCCTATTCCACATCAGCAGTGTAGTTCTGTAACTTTTATCGACACGAATTGGCGGATCGTAAAGTAGCGAAATTTTGTTGCTTGCGCTAACGATTATGCGATTCTCTAACTCAGTTGTTATGATGATCGACATCGCACATATCCATTTTATTAAAAAGTAGGAAAGGTGGCACCACAGCTTAACGATACGTCAAAATGTACGAAAAACACAAAGAGGAATGACAAAAACATATAAATTCGTTATTCCGTTTATTAGGTTTGGAATTATTAGACATGCCTTATTGTGAGTATAATTGTAAATGGCTATGACAAAAAAAACCGAGCTACCTTTGCAGAAAACATCGAACAGGTGATTGCGTCTGTTACGCAAAGAATGCAACGGCTTACTGACGACTGATTCATGGATATCCCCCATTGCTCTTCGATGGGACGTTGATAGCATCGAGTTGAATAAAATCGCAAGGTGGTTAGAACCTTTAACATTTGAATAGTGTTAAGACTTAAAAAAATATTGAAAAAATATATTATTACCTGTTTCTCCGTAGACAATGCTGTTATTCTTCTTCCTTTAGTTGACAATCTAGTTCAGAAACGATTTCTTCAACTAAATCCGGCGAAACTCGGTAGCATCCAAATGAAAAGGATCTTCCGCTTCTCGACGCAAACTTCTATCCGATGGGTAGGATAATGCCAAATATTTAAAAGCCATTTATTTTATTATTTTATTTTTATTTTTGTATTACTTAGACACTTTACTCTCTTATATGAAATAACAAAATTTTGTCGATATCGCTAACAACTTAAAAATATTCGTCGCTTAATTAGCGATTTTTCGAGTAGTTTACGACAACAGCGAGAGCGAATATCGTTAAAACAAGTACACCGAATATTAAAATCGTTAGAATTATCGCTAAGTCTTCTTTGCGATCCGAAAATCGTTGTACTATTCTTAGAGAATAGCGAATATCGTTAAAAATATCGTTAAGTCTTCTTTGCGATCCGAAAATCGTTATACCATTTTAGAGAATAGCGATCGACTCTCACGACAGCCGGTTCTACGCACCGAGTTGACCCGGATTTTATCCGGCCAAGGGCTGTCACCTTTTCGGCGACCTAACCCCGTTTAGGTCTACAGGTAACCTTAGTCTAAGTTCGCCAACGGAGCAACACCTCGCAGCTGGGTTGCTCCAAATCCTTCTGATCAGGGCTGGTGTAGAAACCAACCCTGGACCGACGGATTACTTCTGCTGCGTGTGTCAAAGAAGACTCCACCACTCATCCACCTCGGTTAGATGCACCCAGTGCAATGGCTGGAGTCATCTTAAGACCTGCTCAGGCCTTAAGACCCACAGAGAATGGACCACAAGTTATGTGGCCCCATGCTGCCAGCGTCCAGCCGCCCCCTCAGCCTCCACGGCAGTGCCTTCAGCACACATACCCACTCTGGGTAATCTGCAGACCTCCACGGTCTTACGGAGCTCCCCGCAGCATGATTCCCCCCAACCTCCACCCCCATCCCCACCCACAACCAGCTCCTCAGCCTCCTCCCGTGCGAGGGCTACCCAGCAGCTCCTAGTCCCCCGCACCGTCAGTTCCGTGGGTCAGACCATAGTGCGTCGGAACGTGACCGCAGTCAGATGCAATTTCTGCTCTGGCTGGTGTCACTTTCGAACGTGCTCTAGCCTGCGCACCGCCCGTGAGTGGAGCGATGCGTACGTTGCCCCATGCTGTAGGAGTCTGCCCCCGCATGTCTTTACAAACCCTCCGCCAATCAACACCAATGTGCAGAACCAACTCTCGCGGGTAGTACAGCAGCAACACACACCATCCACGCATCACTCCCTCACCCCCCGAATCACGAACGTTCTCCCGAGACAGACCCGACTTCTACAATTCAACTGCAACGGACTCCAGGGAAAGATTGACGAGATAGTCGACTATATGAGCCGGGAGCACCTGTCAATTGCTGCGATCCAGGAAACCAAGTTGACCGCCCGATCAGATCTTCTGAACAGGGCCGGATACAACATAAACCGCAAGGATCGCGAGCGAGACCATGGTGGGGGCTTAGCGTTCATCCTGCACAACACCGTGCAGTAGCGTCTCATCGATGGCGACATCGACCGCAGAGATACTACCCTAGATTGTCAGGGCATAGCTATCCGGTCAGGCGATGTCGAGCTCGAAATATTTGATATATACATTCCTCCAGTTACAAGTTGCCCAGCTGGATACACCCCTGACATAGGTGCGCTACTCAGGTGCGAAAACCGTTTGGTTTTGGGCGACTTTAACGCGCATCACGATCTTTGGCAATCTAGCCTGTCAAATGACCGTAGAGGAATGGAGCTGGCGGAACAGATAGACGAATCGACATTCTGCACAATGAACGATAACACCCCCACCAGAGTTATGGGTAATTGCCAAAGCTCGCCAGACATAACAATTGCGAGTGGTGGTCTGATAAACAGTATAGTCTGGCGACCTATACTGACGTTAGCATCCGACCACTTGCCCATACATATCTCGATTGACAGGTCTCCTGACTTTGTTTCCGCGGACCACCGGACATTTGTTAACTTTAAAAAGCTAACTGGCCCGGATTCACGGAATTTACCGAGAACGCCTTTAGTGCTCTTTCCACTCCAACTGACGTCACCGCTGGTGAACGCTCATTCCGCAGGGTCGTCGTGACCACTGCCGCCCGCTTCATCCCGGCAGGACGAATCGCGGAAATCCGCCCAAATTTTCCGACAGAAGCGGCGGTACTAGCAACCAGGCGCGACACCCTCCGAAGCTCCGATCCCGGGAATCCCCTAATCAGGGATTTAAACGCGGAGATTCGAAGAGTTGTCAGCAGTGAAAAGCGGAAAAAGTGGGAGGAGCACCTAAGGACCTGCAACCTCTCCTCTGGGGCAACCAAGCTCTGGGCCACAGTCAAGTCGCTGTCTAACCCGACGAGACGCGATGACCGGGTGGAAATTTCATTCGGTGATCGCGCCTCGTCGGACCCGAAGAGATGCGCGAGCTATTTTAGCCGCCTTTTTACATTGCATCCCTCGGTAGACAAAGCGAAACGACGTGTGACCCGCCGTATGCGCAAACTGCCAAACACCAGCGCGGTGCTTGATTTTTCCAGGGAGGAGGTTCAGGCGGTCATCGGGAAGGCGAAAGCCTCCAAATCCATCGGCCCCGACGGAATAAGCATGCTGATGCTGAAACATTTGGACTAGCGGGAGCAGAATTTCTCGCGAGGGTCCTCAATCTGTCTTTGACCACCCTGAAGATACCCGCCGTGTGGAAAATGGGTAGGGTGGTCCCGCTACTAAAACCGGGGAATCCAGCCAATAACAATTTCATGTCAATACCCTTAGATGAGCCAGGAGCCTTTTCTTGAATCTTACTTGATGGTGATTCCAACTCCATCACAGATTTATCAGCCTCTTCCTTGTCAATGTCCTTCAAGAACACCTCTTCATCCTCGCGATGGAACTCGTACTGGTTCAAGTCGATGCCTTCAACTTCCAATTATTCACGCAGTCTCGATTGCAGCTCTGCCCTATTGCCAGTTGTCCATAATCCTCGCTTTGCCAACTCCCCATTGAGAGGAGGTATTGTCAAATCCTGAGTCTTTACCATTTTGGAAATATTATCCTTTGGGATTTATTTAGCAATCCCACTTCTGACACAAATTGTTACGATTTTGCTGAATCAACCTCGATGATTTTCTGAATCTTTCGGGTACGATTTTTGGATTTCCTTCGTAATAACGAATTCATCTAATGTCCTTTATTTACTCAGTAATTCTGAATTCAATTACAATGCACTTTACTAGTATAATCACTTGTATAAAACTTTCACAATTTACTTTACTTAAATGTAATCTCCAACGCGTTCACTTTACGACTCAATATAAACAAATAGCTTGTTCCGCCACCAACGAGTTCACATTGTAACTTACTTACTTGGCAGCTGAGTGTCGCCCTTATATAGCAGTCAGCTGCTCGAAGACGAAAGTGTAGAATAATCGAGTTGTTCGATATCGAAGGTTCTCGTTTTATCGTTGTAGAATGTACTAGTTTTCGGCTTCTCTCTTTCATCTGACATTCTCCTCGCATTTTCACCACAATACTTTAACTTAATTTAGAGAAATATGCCTAGCGACAAAAGAAAACTGAATGTAAACGCCATCTTCCACATTAAAAGGGTCGTTTGTTTCTCGCAAACTTCTAAACAAGCGCAATCTACACTTTTTATCATCTTCAATGAATTATATTTTTCGCATTCTTAGTTCACTATCACTCTGTAACTTTTATTATTAGCGAAATCGAAGGTAACAAAAAATCTACTGTTTGATTTTGTGTTGTTAGTTTGAGAGAAAAGCAAACCAAGAACGATAGGCATATTTTAGGCCTGAATTCGTTGAAGATGAAAACTAGTGGAAAGAAGCGCAAGCTAAGAAGTTTGCAAGAAACAATTGACTATTTTAATTTGGAACATAGTGTTTTAACTCAGGTTTCCTTTTGTCGCTTAGACATTTATTCCAAAATTAGGTTCAAATATTTATGATTTATTCAACAAATAAATAAGACTTATTATTGAAGTGCACCGGCTTCCATTTCGATGTGAATATTCTTCTTTTTTACTATACCTGTTGGTAAATCAAATTTGACATGGGCGAAAAAAACATTGTTTCCAGTTCGGAAGGACACCAGCAGTGCAGTTCTGTAACTTTTTGACACGATTTGTCGGATCGCAAAGTTACGAATTTTGTCGCTTGCGCTAACGATTATGCGATTCTCTAACGCAGTTGTTATGATGATCGACATCGCACATTTCCATTTTATTAAAATTTAGGAAAGGTGGCACCACAGCTCAACGAAACGTCAAAATGTACAAAAAGCACAAAGAGGAATGACAAAAACAAAT